GTTAATAGACAGTTGTGGAAAAGAGTGTGGCTTCTGCATTCAGATCCGCCCTACGATTACAAAAGTCAAAGGGATGAAGAATATTATCTCAAAGTTTATTATCTCTAGTTCCAGTGGCAAGACTATCAAATGTCTAAATTGTTTGTCTATTTAAAGTGTTACATTTATTAGAAAATATACTCAATTTAAATACAGAAGGAGTTATAAAAATGATTTCAAAGATCCAAGTTATAATCCTCTCTTGTTACTCAACATTTGTTGCCAAACAGACAGGCAAATTAATCCATTTCAAATTTTGTACACATGTAGTTTATACCCATAATGACACCCCTGAATTTTTTTATGAAAATTTTAAAATCATTCGATGTATTACCAAATAATTCTTGAAAAGTTTAATAAAATCTTTATCAGATTTTTTAGGGTTTAAAAATTTAATGGTTTTTTTTTTCCTTCTGGTTTCCAACTTTATTATTTTTACTGCTCAGCCTGGTTTAGGGTTTTTGTCCAGACTTAGTGACAGGGGAATATATTATTCCAATTTCTTATTTTCAAACTTGTGTGTGGATGAATGTATGTGCTTGTATGTACATCACGCATACACAACAGAGATACATACGCCCATGCAAAGTTACAGTGTGTGATGGACTGAGAATAGATCAGCTCTTTTCTAGAATGTAGACTTGACAAAGCATTGTCAGCAATTAGTCATTTTTCATATTTCTTTTATCTTAATGTTAGTTACTTTTCATTGCAGTTACTCAGACCATTAGTTGATGACTTAATAAATAGCACAGATCAGAAAGAAAGACTAGATAGGCTTCTCAAAGTAAAAGGAATAAAAGCTAATGTCTCACCAATTTTAGTCAGAATAAAAAGCAACAGAAATTAAGATGAATGAAATAATTGTTTGATGCTTGCACCAGAATAGCACATTATCTTATAACATGTTTTTCACTTCTTATGAGTTACAGAAAAAAAAATGTAAGCATCATAGGACAGAAAGATAATCTTTGTCTTAAATTTTAAAAATAAAACAAAATTAAGCAAGTTTTCCCAAGCACTGACAAAGTTAATTTGGATCTGTGGAGAGATCAAGTTATCAACCAGACAAGATAAGCAAATAATTGATGCCTTCTTTTTGTTGAACATCACCACAAACATCACAATTAAAATGAGTCCCATGCTGTTTGTTCCTGTGTTTATTCATCTTCATATTTACATGAGAATCTATGTAAGTGCAGCATGAAGAAGAAAAACAAAAACAAAAAAAAACACCTCTTATGTAAACCAAGGCAAATAGGCAAACTACTTTCGACAGGATGTTAGAAAAATATACGTCATATCAACCAAACCTAATTTGTTACTCATTCACTACAAAAAAATGAAAATATTTGTGTGGGAGAACAGGAAGTGAGGTAAGTAAATAGGCATTAATTTAGAAACTTATTAAACAACTTTGATAATATGGCATAAATTCTAGTTTCAACAGATTCTTAATTTGGTTGGGAGAAATATATATCGACTAAATACTGCTTAAAGTTTAAGAAAAAATTTTTAATTCCTCTTTTGCAAGTATATATCTTGAGAAGTAAACTTTTATTTAACATTTTAACAGGCCAAATAAATTTGTAAATTTTTTTTGTTTTTCTAAGTCTAAGATTTTGTTTTTGTCTCTTTTACACAAGCAACACCAAGTGGCAGTGACTTTATTATCACAATGGCCAACTGTTGTAAGACATTAACAAAACTAGAGGGTGAAAATAGAATATTAAAGAGCAAAGGACAACTATAATTGAAAAAAAAAAAAAAAAAACATTTAAAATACGATAATTTTTTTTTTTTTTTTTTTTTTTTTTACTGGGCATGACAATGTGAAGATGAGGAGAAAATTTATAATGACGCCCAATTAAGAGCTGTCTGATCTTCAACTTATCAGGCAAAGAATGGAAGAAAGACAAAACTGTATGTGAGGAAAAATGCCTTGGGATCTGAGGATAAGTGGGGGACTATAAATCAAATTGGATTACCTTATGTTCAATGTACAGACAAAATCTATGATAATTAAGAAAATAACCCAAGATGAAAGCAACAAATTAAAGACATCAAAATGAAACAAGTGCAGAAATTTGCTATCTGGGAAGTGTTAATAAGTGTTTCCAGATAATTTTTTTTTTTCATTTTAATAATCCTCCTGTGTGGCAGTGAATACTGGACAGTTTCCTCAGAGATAAAGAGACTTGAGGAAAGAGAAATGTGATTCTACAGAAGGATAATGAATACTATGGAGAAAATGTGTAACTCAGAAGTTACAAGAAAAACAGGAACAAAATGGACACTTATACTTGGAACTAAAAAGGAGTTGAAATTTCTAAGACACAATGAGGAAAGAGGGTTTAGAGAATTGGATACTCACAAATACTGAAGAAAAGAGACAGAGAAAAGCAGCAAATAACACACCTAAGATGCTTAAGTAAATGATTGACAGAACATTTACTGAATGGAATTCGAATATGATTTTTCATGACAAGACATTACCCATTTCACCACACAAGGCATTGCATGATACTTTACAAAATAAACAAAATGTTTAAAATTTTAAAGCACAACAATAGACTGGCAATGGAAAAGAATGAAATGAAAGTTTGAAAAAGATACCCATTTTATAGATTATACATCGTCCATATCTATTAGCTATGTTTAACTCCCTAGCATTTGAAAAAAAATTGTCAAATGAATAGGCACAGAGTTTTTTTTTTTTATGGCAATCATTTTTTAAAAGAGATTTTTATCATTCATCATTCATTGTCTATAATTTCAAATTCTAAAAATCATCAAAAACTTATTGTTCACAAAAATAAAATGTAAAAAACAAAAAGAAAAAAATGTATTTGGACTTTATCAAGGCAAATACAAGGATTTTATTTTGTTACAAGAGTAAAAGTGTTGTTTTTCAAGATTTTTAAATTTAAGAAACACTCAAGAATATTCATCTGGCTAGCTGAAAGGTCCAAGGATGCTAAGTGATATAATTTATGTTAATTTGAGCAAAAAGATGAAATTTGTTCATTTAAAATTATTAAATCTCCCATTGCTAAAAATCTTTTTAAATACCACTACAATTAGAGAACTTGGTTAGCACTTTAATGTCCATCACAAAATAAAGCAAACATGTCAATTGTTTTGCAACACTCAGCCATTTGGAAATGAGGGACAAAACTAAAAATCGGTGATCTTTAAAAATTTGGACAAAGTTCCTACATTTAACAAACTGAAAGGATAGATTAAAATTTCTTATATTCATTTATAGAGTTGATGAATTTTTAGAGACAGATTCAACCTTTCCCAAGGGTATTTGTGAATAGAATTTCCCTCCAATTTCCAAAAAGTTTATCACGTGCCTCAGATAATTAGTAGGGATAATTCCAAGAGGATGTAAATAAAGTTCAATGTAAGAATTGAGCAAATTTAAATCCAATGGATTTCTAAGGACCCTTCATTATTATATATATATATATATATATATATATAATATATATAAAACACTGAAAAAAACCCCATTTGGTCATTAAAAATACTTCTTTTGACGACATTTTTGATTGTCTCATAAGTGTTTAAATAGTTTTTAATATCTTTTCAAATTAAAATTACAAAATGGTTATTTAATAAGTGATGAAGCTCACACGTAGAAAATCCAAATGAAAGTGTTATTTGTAGATGACAAAAATTATTAAATCTCCCCATTGCAATTTTTAGAGACCTCAATTTAAGGGACAAAACTGAAAACGGTGATCTTTAAAATTTAGTTCCTACATTTAAGAAAGGATAGAAAAATTTCTTATATTCATTGAGAGTTGATGAAAAATAGAGACAGGCAATTAATTGTCATCCCCACCTAGTTAAAAAGTTTATCACAGCCACTGCATTCCCCCCACCCTTATAAAATAGTGTTTAAATCCCAACCCGCGGAAATAAAAAGTAAAAACCCCAAGAATTAATTCTTTTGACGACATTTTTATCAAGTTTAGGTGCATTCAACTTCCTTAAAAATTAAAATTACAATTAGTTAAAAAAAAAAAAAAAAATTAACTAATTGCAATTTTACGTAAAAACTCCCAATAATTTGGTCTGTCTAGCTGACTAACACCACCATTTGGACTTTACTAATTTTATATTGTCAGGCTTAAAATTAATAAAAGAAAAATAAATAAAAAATATCGGTTCGATCCTATAAATTTTTTAACAACATTTTGAAGGTGAATGTCAGTTGAGTACTACAATGAATAGTTTTAAGTGAAGTCAATTAATTCGATCAGTTAGTGATACTTTGACTTCTGTTTAGTTTTTAAGTCAAACATTTTTGCATCTTTGCAGATGCTGTTGTTTGGATCGGGATTTTTTACTGTTTAGTTCAGAAAAGCAATTTCTGTTTAGTGTTGTGTTGTAGATTTCTTAGATATTTTTTTTTTTTTTTTACTAATAATTAGTAAGAATAAGCAATAATGCAAAAAAAATAACAGTTCTTTTCTTTGTGCGAAGTTTAAAAAAGAAAAAAAGCTACATGCAGATCTTTCCATCAATGGGATCGAGAATGAATTTGAAAATTTATTCAGAAAAGTTCAATAATCAATGAAATGCACTTAAAATAAAAATAATAAAATTTACCCATCCCATTTTTAATCTTTTTATTTTAAGGGAACACTACAGAGATGAACGATTTATTGTTGTTTTTGTTTTTAGCGGCATATCAAACTCTAGATGTTGGAATACCGAAAAAAATAAATAAATATTTTATATACAATTTTATTTATTTATTTTTAAGATAATCTTTTGTTTTTTTTTAGTGATACAAGTTTTACCAATTTTTAACTCCTAGATGGGAGCGGGGAGAAGTGAATCCATTCTCCACGGTATTTGCACGTAAGTGAATATAACGAACCCAACGATTAACTAACAATTTCGAGCCATACATTTTTTTTTTTTACAGCACCCGCATAACCAAGCTTACAGCACTTGGTATTCTCAAGTGGTCACTCATGGGTACTGACCAAGCTCGACGTTGCTTAACTTCGATGATCGTACGGGAACCGATGTTTCAATGTGATATGGCCGTAAGCCCGTATAGTTTGAGAAGATTGTCAAGGATCAATTTTTTTAAATAAACTCGAAACCCTCAATCCAAAGCATGTTTTTTGGAGTATTTTTTTTTTTTTACAACTTATTACATTTTTTTTTAACATAATACAGAATCCATTTATTTTACTGGAAAAAGAATCATTTAATCAAATCTACCTTTTATTTTAATTTACACAAACTAACTAAAAAGAAAGAATTACATTTATTTTAGTTTTTTGTAAATTAAATAAATTCAACCTTAATCCATACTACTTATATGGGCATTACAAAGTAGGTGTATTTGTCAAATCAAATTAGACAACCTAGGCATACAAGTTTTAGAGATTGAAAAGAAGTAGCAGTACTAAGTGAAGAAGAGTAAGACTCAAGAAGCAAGAGTCAAGACAAGTGTCAATTTACTCGTGAACCATGTTACTGTGGCTAGTGAACACACCCCCACATTGTCACAAAAAAAACATAAAATACTGCTTTGTCGACTTAAAAGTTTTTGTTTTTATTTTAAATTCGATTTGTTGATGCAAATAAATATTGAATGTCAGAATATCTACATTCGTCCAAGTTTAGATCAGAAATCATCGCAATTTTGTTGAAAACGTCGTTACCATTGATTGATCAATAACGACACGATAAGTCTTACACTAGTCTCCTTATAAGTAAATATAAAAGAGAAGTCATAAATAAATGATAGATAATTGAAAAAATACAAAAAGGAAAACTAAAATTTAAAAATAAATGTTAACTTAAAAAAGGTAAGAAAGACTACAACACATGCAAATTTTAAGAATGAACCAATGTCGAATTAAAAGGGGAAAATCCAACTATCCTATTGAAAAGGATGAATAAGTGAACCTAAATGTCTACGATTTTTTAGTGTACTGTACTAAGACTTACAACACAGAGTTAAAAATACCTCACTTACCTATAATCATAATTAACTACTACTACTACAATACATTGTTACACCCCAAATTGCAAATTATTACATAAAAGTCAAAATTAAGGAATAAAAAAAAAAAAATTTCAAGTTTAATTGATTTACTGACAGTGGTCGGTTTTTTTGAAAAAAAAAAAAAAATGAAATATGCAATAAAAAATGCTATTTATAGTTTTTAGTGGAAGTTGTACAAAGGTAAAAAATAAAATTTACTTGCCATTTTTTAAATTTAGATTTTTATTAAATTTTAAAATGATGTAGAAATGGTGACAAATAAAAACAACGTGAAATAATCAAATGATGTGTATTTTAAAAGGAGAACAAAGTGTTACGAGTGGAGTCTACCCCGACGTCTTTCTTTGAGGCTGTGTAAACATAATGAAACAAGTATTGTCTTTAACCCCAAAATAAAAGTAGTAGTTAATCTGTTCCACAATATTTTTTCTCTCCCATAATACCGTACATAACATTGTTTTTTTGTAGTGTTGTTAAAAAAATTAAAAAAAAACAAAAAAAAACGGAGATGTCAAATTAGTAAATAAATATTTTGTTTAACATGGCAAAAAAACTGAAAAAAGAAAGCCAAGTGGCATCAGCATCTTTTACATAAGATAAAGAAAGAATGTTTTATTGCAACTACTACTCAATTCACCTGTAAAAAAAAAATATATACAGTACGATTAAAACAGGTAATTAAAGTCTACTACCTGGTGCGAGATGGGGGGGGAGTGAAAAGAATAAAACGAATCTCGTCTTTTAAAGTGAATTGACAAAATAGAATTATCGTAATTTTTTATATAGATGTGCTTTTAAAAAAAAAAAAAAAAAACTTAATTAATAGCACTTTTTTCGAGGTTGAATATAAAACGCACATTTACCAATTACACTACACACAGTATTAAAAAGCTTTTTAATGTTTCAAATCCTTTTAAAAAAAGAAAACAAAACGGGAGTCTCTACTATCACAATGCCAAATAATGTCAAGAAGTTTAGGACATTTGATTGTCAATGCCTTTTTTTTTAACACCTAACCCAAGTAAAAAAAAAAGACAGGTGTGTTCTTTTTTTAATTTTATTTTACGACATTATTTTTATAAAAAAATCGTTGAAATTGTGTATGTAACCAATATTTTCTTTCTATGCTTTTAAGAATTAAGACAATACCATTAAAGATGAAAAGATCTTTTTAAAAGTGTTTTGTGCAGTGATTGAAATATGAGACATCTCAAAAACTGACTACTTACTTCTACATATCAGAATTTTTAGGCAACTGCAACGATTGGGTTGTAATATGACATGTAAACAGAGGAAGGCAGTGAAAAAACAATAACAGGTTATATCAGCTGCTACTTACTCCATGGAAAAGTTCTATCCGGTTGGAAGAATTGTTTATTAAGTATGGGTTGTCGGTAATCCAATGAGGGTCAGGATACGGCGGGCCACGAAGCCTTAAAACAGGCCGTCATCATGGTACAGCCGTAACACAACTCCGTTCTCCATTAGGGACGACCTCAAAATGCCGCGAGTGCTTAAACTCTGCGCATGCGCGAGGACTACTCTTCCTGTCCCTCTTCTTTCACTTCCTCTTTTTCTTTTTCTTTTCCTTTTACCTCCTCCTCTTGCTGTCTGTGACGTCACTGTCTATGACGTCATGGCACTTCGGGTAAGAATTAGAATTGGGAGAAGTTTGAAGAAATGGAAGCTTCATGTTTGGCATAATAACAGCCAAAAATTGTTGCATTTAAGATTTATGAAAGGCTGTAAAACAGGATAGAACATTTGTTTGATAGAGAAAAAATATAGTGTGAATGTATCTGTTAGTGCCTCTCTGAAAATGAATGTAATTTAAAAATATTTGAAAACTTGGTTTTCTTTTGTGGATGAGACATAGTAAAAAGTTCTGAGTAGTTGTCATTGTGTGTAAGGATATTAATATGTAAAAGTTTAAGGTGATAGGTCTAGTTACATATATATATTTGGATTATTTACCTAACCAGTTCTTTCCTATTTTCTATATATTTTCACATATATATTTTTATATATATATATATATATATATATATATATATACACACACACACACACACACACACACACACAGAGAGTGTGCGATAGGTAAATTGTTGCTGTTTTATATTTTTAATTTTGTGCATACCTGTTCTTTGTTTTAGATTTTGCTGTCTACACAGTACAATAAGGTCAGTTGGGCTCCATCTGTGAGAAAAAAACTACCATAATATAATTCACTCCATGAAAAAATTTGAAAATGGCAGTCTATACTGCTTGGCATTTGCAGCAGAAGCTCCAATATGAATATTTCAGAGTGTTTGGGTGTCAATCTGAGGACAGTTCAGAGGATTTGGAAAGAGTTAGAAGATATATCCAGTCAACATCATGGTGTTTGGACTGATTACTAGTGATGGTGACATTATGCCTCTATTCATCTTCCCACAAGGCATCAGACACAACATGAAAGTGTACATCAAGTGCCTTGAAGGGGTAGTGCTGCCCTAGATCAAGAGGGTAGCTGCTGGAAGACCCTATGTCTGGAAACAGAACTCTGCACTATACCACACAAGCAAGAGAACACAGGCATGGCTGTCAGACAATTTCTGCGAACACATCACCCCTTACATCTGGCCACCTAACTCCCTAGACTGTAACCCCCTTGATTATTATGTGTAAGGCACAGTTGACTGAGAGACCAACAAAACTCCTTGTAACACCAAAGATGAACTGAAGGCAAGGATTATGGCAGCATCTACCAACTTAAATAAAGAGACTGTCCAGAAGAGATGCAGGAGATTCTGAAGTTGTTTGGAGGCCGTGGTTGAAGCCAATGTTGATTTTATTGAATAAATTTACTCTTTAGTATTTCAAGATATTCTTGTGTAATTTTTGTAAATATATCTTCTAAAATGAGACGTCAGTGTTATTTTCATTTTTGCATAATATAAATGACAATTTATCCATCACACCCTGTACATATATGTGCATGTGTGTGTATGGATGAATATGATATATAAATTTCTTTATATCAGAATAATGTTGAGCAAATGAAGGACAAAGTGGAAAATAATTCTGTGTAACATCCTCTTAGAGGACTTCATCAGAATAAAGTAATGTTTTTGTTGATGGAATTATATATGTATAGGAAGGTGTCAGTTACAATTATGCACCAATAGGAAAATAAAATGAAATATGGAATAATTATCATATTTGTCAGTCTCATTCAACCCCGGTGTATAGACTGAGTTTGTGTAAGAATTAGAAATTTAACTATGACAGCCTTCAAAAAATTGATACAGAATTTATCCATCTCAATGTTTCAGTCAGACGAAATGCCCAAAACAATGATCACGGGAAGATGGAAGATATTAACCTTAAAGGGAAGAGGTTTTATAAAATTAAACCCAGATATTAACCTAATGACATTAAATTGGGATTATATGAAAAATGAAGTATTAATTTGAAGCTAAATGAGGACTGAAAAGGGAGTTTTATAAAAAAAATTTTTTATATATATAAGGTTAGGTTCCTACATAAAAATACTCTTCCAAAAATAAATTACAAATTATACTTAAAAATAAGATATATTCAAAAAATTAAAAATAAGTCATATTTAGATAATTTATATTGAATTTAAATAAGAATATATTTAAAAAAGAATTTAATATTAAAGAATAAAAATATATTTAAAGATAAAATATAAGAAAAATAAATTATACATTTTTAACTTGAAAGGTAAGTTAAATCAAGTTATATTAAAAGAAAAAAAAAAAAAATTTACAAAGTTATTGATGTAAAATATGCAAACCTGGGTTGAGTAATATGATTGGCTGGTGTCAGCCATAAAATAACAGTTTGCTACATGGATGATTGTCTTGATTGCCTACCACTGCGACGAGGACCAGTCCATTCAGTTACCTGCTAGATTGTCCTACCCAGTTACAGGTCAAGAACCACTTTTCTACTTTGAAAAATATATCCCTTTCCGGGACATATCAGCTATATTTTAAAAAAATTTTTAAATTTTAAAAATATA